AATCGGTTTTTTTCCGTTTGCTGTTTGGCCCTACGTGTAGGTTTTAGCTTGGCGTGACGGCAATTGCTGTTCTGTTTCGTCCCCACGTTAGAGGATGCTAGTAATCCTGCTCCCTCTTCCGGTGGTTTCGTCACAGGGTCGCCTTCGTTTGCAAATCCTGAACTCGGTTTGACCGTATCTTGTCCAATACTTACGTAATGGCATAGGACTTTGTAAGCCGTAGGAAAGTCCAACTGCCGTCAATGCAAGCCAAAATCCACACGCAGGGCCAAACAGCAAACGGAGAAAAACCGATCAGCTCAAAGCCAACACGTACAGCCACAAATTTTTGAAGGTTGCTGATCAATAAGGTCAGTATTCGCTTCGTCAAAGGACAGCCGGCCAAGCTGTCCGAAACGTCAGTAAACCCACAAGTTTATACCGGCGAGGAGAAGATGAACTCTAATTCTCATTCCGGAATTCTGACTTTTTTCAAATTTGAATCTGTCATTAGTGGTGCCAATACTGAATCGTCTGCTTCTATCTACTATCACATGCAAGAAACAGTGTCATGGTGACGGGAAGTGGACGGAAGTGTACTATTTGAAGGGAATATCTGACGTCACACAAGTGAAAGCACCATTTTGGCCTGATTAAATGTCTTGAAGCCTTAAAACCAACTATTGATAGGTCACGGTATTTTTGAAGATCATATAAATACTAATCGTTGTATTCGAGTGCAAGCGACTTCACTATTTTCCTTATTACAACAATTCAAAGACCGCGTCGAGCCGACTGGTGGAAACATCGAGTAAAAAAGCCCTGTCATCGTCAAAACTGTGGAATGTTTGTATATTTTTGAGCGGATGTTCTGCAAAGATAGCCCAGCCAACCATTCCTGACCTCAAAAAAGTTTCACTCGCCGAGCTGTGTTTGTTGTAGCCATCTGAGCCTTAAAAAAGTTGTTATCGGCGAAGGAGTTGGCCCTAGCCCTAAGTATCGTTAGCCGCAGTGGTTCAGAAATGTTGTCTAACTGGGTCATAAGTTCGTGGCTTACATTCCTCCCGAGTCATTCTCCCGACAAGTAGTTATATTGAAACCTGAGACCTCCCTCTATTGCTTATCCTTTGAATCGGTTGGGTTTATGACCTGATCCTTGATGTAGATGCGCCTTGACCCATTGCGATATTTAGACTCCGATTTGAGAGACCGTAATTATGCCGATGTGCCGACTCTGATGATGTCGGCTACGGCCGAGACAGAGTCAAGTTTGTCACAAAAGGCTAAATGAGCGGCTTTAAATATCCACTGTGAGCCGTCTGATTAACATTCAGACAGTGTGTTTTTTAGCTTGAGAAGCCTGCACAGAAAATGTCTCCACTTGCAAATTAGTGCCTTCCCCCTAAGTCAAAGGACTCAGTACTGTTCGCGCTCCTACCATCAAACATCGGAACTCGTACGCTTTAATCAGCCGGATAATATTTAACGATTCTCTAACAGCTGCTCGAGCGGTTTATTAGGGATTGTCTC